GAGGTACAGTTCAGACTAGTATTACACCCAGACCTTGGGTCCAAACATCAAACTATCCCCAAATCTGTGTCTGACACCATCATTGACATTAGCACGCTCGGCCTGTTGTGTGCCGTCGAGTTTCGAGTTGGCCGATTGTTCGTCGTCGTCTTCATCGTCACTTCCCTCGGCTTGTTCTCGTCGTGATGCAGGAACCGTCGAGTTGAGGGTTCTTCCGAGACAAATGCGTGCGCAAAAAGGCTGACGACAGGCCGCAAAGCCGGGCTGAACCTCCTGTACTAGATACTTATGTGATTTAGGACGTCAATCTGTTAAGAGATCCTCGCTATCAGGCCTATGCTGAGTCTCGTTGGTCTGACTCAAGCTGTTCTGGCTCGTCGCGAGATCGGAGCCTTCCGATCTTGCATCTTCCTCCTCGTCTGCAATGTCGTCCTCCTGCAAGGCCTCATCATACTCTTCGATGTGCTCGGTAATGTATGGCATGAGGAAGTTGACGAAAGAAGGGATGTCTTCCGTACGTTTCTTGAGAAACCTCGTATTGACCAGCTCTAAAGCGAATGGCGGTCCTTCAGCCTGCGCCGTCGCCTTGGTGCGCATTTCGACATAATCGCCCAGTGAGCCACTCGAGTCAAGGTAAAGCTCACTGTCGCGAAATGTCACTCTCGGGACAGTAGCCGCCCATCTGGGGACACATGTATTTGCCCTATCGGAGCCATACGCATCGTCGCGTCGTCCTACAAGAGATTCGAAGAAGGGTTGGGGATGTCCGATAATCATATATGGAGATACGCCCTGCAACACGAGTGACTCAAGTGTCTCGAGCTCGTCCAAGGATCGAGCATCGGCCGGGGAGAAGAATCCGCCTGGGTCAATTGTAGTGATGACGAGGTGCCGCACGGTCTTGCGGAGAAATCTGTACAAAGAATCCAAATAGTTCGCAGGAGCAATTGCTATGGTGAGGGTTTCCACCTGTGGGCATCGTAGGAGGCGCCCCCATTCCTCTACATGTGGGAAGCCGAAGACGCCAATTCGGCGTAACAATGGCAGTTCAGCTGGAAGATCGGGGTAGATGGTCGTGCTCATGATTTGGGTCCAGTACTGGAAGAACATGTTCAGTTCCCTCAGAGCAGGTGTCAATGCAAGTGCTTGTGAGATCGAAGCGATGGTGGTAAGGCCACGAACGCTGATACTGAGGTATTGCAGACGTGACAACGGCTGGCTGGGAACCATCTCCATCGCGTGACTCACGAGAGAAGTCAGGCGAGGACAATCTCCAAGATGTACAGCTTTGGCCGGCCCTTCAATAGAGGATCCCTCGAAGTATGCCGTGACCATGTTGTCGTAAAAGCCAGTTGGTGCAAGGACCAACTCCTCGAGGAGCGGGATGATCGTCGTGAACACCTCAAAAGTGGCGACATCCACTTCAGGCGGAAAGTCGATGCGAGCTCTTCGCCACCTATGCGCCTCGAATGAAAGCAGATGAAGGCATTGAAGAAACTCTTTGGAGTCCTTGACCCCGGTTATGCAGTGGAGGCGGAAGTCGAGTGCGTGCTCGCCCGAACGCTCCAGGCAAATACGCGCGTAGTCTGGCTCATCTAGTCGCTGATCTGACATGTAGATAAACGACCACAGCTCTGGCGTATTCAGTGCAATGGAGCGCCAACGCTGGCAAATTGCTGCCAAACGGAAGGGCTCGGTGCGTCGGTGTTGGCCAATCTCTTCACCATGTATCATGTCCAACGGGATGTCTGCGTCAAGGAACGGTATTCTGTCTCGAAATGCCGTCGCATGTGCAAATATCTCCTGAAAGAGCTCGATCGGAAGGCGGTCCCCGTCCATGGCGTTGTGGTATGGGGGAAAGAAGCGCAGCGTCAGAGTCGGAGGATCCAGCACAGGTTTTGGTCACACCTTACGACGGAACCGAAAGATGGTGCATCCTATTCCAGTCATACCCTCGTCGCTCGTCTAAACCCGTTCACTACTCGCTGCGGATCCTGCGGCACCTACCACCACCGACTTATAGCCTATGCGTGGGAGGAGAGGAGGGGACAGGGGAGGGGCACATTGCGAGAGCATAATGCACCAGATATTGGGTCAAAGTAGTTGGTACATGCACAAATCGGTCAATATCTGGATAACCAGAACAATCAGGCAAGCCAAAACGGAAACATACTAGAACATAGGTAAGCGCCGTTGATAGCTGGGACGAACGGAAGAGAGGCAGGTTGTGATCATTTGAGGAACGGTCACGTCAAGTTGAGATTACAGGCACCAGTTTGCGCTGGGCACGGGGAACTGAACAGAAGAGGGTTGAAACCAACATGGACAGGAAACGTAGGAGGGGTGTGCGTGTTGTGGGGTTTCGTGTAGTGAGATGCGGGGGAATTGTACAGGAAGCATTGAAGCACGCAGGGTCGCGGATGCGGGAGGCTAAAAGAGTCGTTGCAGTATCATATGTGTTGTATCATTTAAGCAGAGAGGTGATCGCGGTGATGGTGTACTTTGAAGGCTGATGGAGCGCGTCCGACGGCTGGGATCATCTACTGATGGTCGTGTGGGTGTAGTGTCATATTACCAGCTGTAAATGAGCTAATCGTCAGCCTTAGAGAGCCGCTCAACTTGACAGGTTCCTTACCTCACAGCTGCTGAAAAATGGTGCGCATGCAGTTGTGGTTGTAGCTTCGGGTCAAAAAGGTCTTCGACCTCCATATCCTGATCATCATCGTCGTCGTGGCGAATGGTTGCCTCAACCTCTGCATCACTAAACGTACGCAGTCTCGTGGACCAGGGCGCATGCTCGGGGTTCGTATCGAGACCGTCGCTGCAGGCCGTACTGAAAGTCTGGTTCATCGAGTCATCCTGGTCCATGGACCAGCCTGTTTCGCTGTACCCGCTGTCCATCCGCATCCGTCGACTGGTCGATGCGAACCCGTGGTCATTGAATGAGCGGTAATCAGCTTCATCGTTGGATTTGTTGTATATCCTCCCATGTGCGTGGGACGGCGTGGGGTTTCCCGGGCGGATGAACGCGCGGGGGTCAGAGCCAAGACTTCGGTCTGGAGTCCACTGCCTTGGTGAGCTCGTGAACTTGCTGGGGGAGGCAACGGAATGACTATCCTGCACCATGGCCGAGCCTGTAGGTGAGGAGGCAAACGAGAAGTCGAGGGTGGGGAGGACAATTGACCTTGCGGAAGGACTCTCCATCCTAGGGAATGGAATCGTGGATACGGACGACCTATTAGCATTCGATGGGACCCGTGTGCGCCAGGTTTCTGACAGGTCGTTGCTCTTGGGCAATTCTGCACGCAGAGATTCGAGGCCGTCGTTGTAATCCAGGTCAATGCCGCCTGTGCCTAAGCTCAGCGGCGAGACGGCGATGTCTGCAACCAAAGCATCGTGCAGGTTCCATGTCGGCGAAATCGGGAGATCGAATGAAAAGCTGAAACGGTTTGGGGTTAGTGATGTTGTACTATCCTTATCGATGGTCTCGAGCAGGACCTCCACAGGGTCACTCCCCATCTCGGGTCGACCAAATTCCAACTTGTCCGTCGCCGGTTTCTCCGTCTGTAATCTGCGTCGGAAATTCAATGAGGTACCGAGATGAGGCCGGAGAACTCAGAGCAAGCTGCATGAGCGACTTTGCAAATGGCGTATCTGCGCCGTCGCACGTCTGGAAAACTTGACCAGGTGGAGAGCTGTTATAGACCCGGGCTGTGCGTCCATTTGGAGGGGGCCGCTCCGGCAAGAGATCGGGACCAAAGACGTCAGGGGCGCAATCCATTGACCGGCGACCGTGACCGAAGATGAGCCCACGCGTTGCCTGTGGGGGCACATATGTCTTGTCAAACCCATCCGTGTAGTAGTCCTCGAACCGGCGGCACACTCGTTAGGGCTTGGCTCCTGCGGAGGCTCGAAGTCCACAACAGCGTTTGGCGGAGCTGTTGCGGGATCCGTAGAAGTACGCTTGCGCTTCAAAGTAGGCAACTTGAAGCCTGGGATCGCACTGTTGAGGGCGGCGAGGACCTGGCGCGCCGATTTCCGCTTCTTATTACGCGCGGTGGGAAAGGAGTTGCCGTCAATCATGACGAACTCTTCGCTGTCAACCTGGGAAACCTCATGCGCAGGTATGAAGGCCTTCACGGGTCGTTGTACAGTGGTAGTGACAGCGCAATAAGCGTGAGTCGCACCAGGTGTCGGGCTAGTGAGCATGCCGTCAACAGCGCGGAAGACGTCGTCGCTAGACTGTGGGCGGCAACCAGAAATAGCTACTTTGGACCAGAGATGGTCCTCAAGTGCCTCGGCGTCCAGTTCAGATTCGATCAAGGCGTCCAACGATGTCGAGACGTCTGGGTGATACTCGGGACTGTGAGTTCCGTTCAGCGGGCTGTATAAGGTCTCGCGTGGGCCACTCGAAGACAATCGTTGAGGGAAGGATGCCGGATTACACCTATTGTGACCAGAGTAAGTGTGCGCTGCCGTCGCGAGCGCTGCGTGAGATGAAGTTGAGCCAGACGCAGCGCCTCGCGTCTCAGACATAAAGCCTAGCGCAACGTAAGTTGAGACCAGACACTAGTGATGAAAGGCTGGGTCGTTCGTGCGCCGTGCCAAGGGGGTATCGAGACAAGACGTGTTCCAACTCCGCGCAAGTCACGCCGGAGGGCCGTTCTTCCCGAATCGCCGCTATGAATGCGGCCCCGACCATAGTTCATACATGGGTGCACCCCAACGCATCGAAAGAGCTTTACGCTCCTCCCGCAAGACTGATTCATCATCCAGTTTAGCTGACGTGTGTGACAGCTATCACAACCCTATGCTCAGGCGGCACACAAGACACAAGCTTCACACGAGGACTTCTAGTGAGACGGGCGCCCGATCTGTGCCTACCAGAAGATGCCTCGGGAACGTTCGTGGTACAAAGCATTTGCTGATAACCTGGATACCGAATGCCATCTGTCGAACCAGTTCTGATGGGATATGACTACGGGGACAGCCACGTAGTCGGGACGTTGGCGCAGCCGGTAGCGCGTAGGTCTCATATCTGAGTGTCCGCTTGGGCACACAAACCTATCCTAAGGTCGTGAGTTCGAGCCTCACACGTCCCATTTTTGTTGCATAATAATCTCCTTTCGTGTGTAGTACGTGATATCTGATTGCCTGTCTGTGACTAGGATGACAATTGGTTTTCTGTGAGGTTCAAGTTTTCGTGGTTTGCGCAGGACCAACGACCAACTGCATGGTGTCGACGAACTGTCCAAAAATGGGACGTGTGAGGCTCGAACTCACGACCTTAGGATAGGTTTGTGTGCCCAAGCGGACACTCAGATATGAGACCTACGCGCTACCGGCTGCGCCAACGTCCCGACTGTGAAATGCTCAAATTGCACATCTATAATACTGTAGTCGACACAACTAACATGACCTAAGGAAGTCGCGAGACCTATCCCCATAGTGTTCTGTGGCCCACAGGCCTCCGGAGGCTTATCTGATCGCGATGAAATTTGTATATCGGGAAATACCAGCATCAATATGCATCGCCGCTTGAACCATCTCTGTCTCTGCCAGTGCTCTTCCGCCCTTTGACCAACACGAACCGATGTCCCTTCGCGTTCTCAAACGAACACATGTCTCTGAGGCTATCAGTCATCTGACTCTTGATGATCTCCTAGAGAATCAGGCTGCGGTGTTCCGCTCTCTGTCAATTGGCACAAATGTCCAATGCCCCCCTCGTCTCACGCTGGCTCTTCCCAACCATACGACTTTGATCATGCCGGGCCGCATCCTCGGTACCGGATCTGCACTGAAAGTTGTTTCTGTCCCTCGCGGTGGTGACGCGCCACCAGGGCTGCCAGCAGCGACGGCTGTCATCGACGAGCAGACTGGACGCGTGCGTGCGCTGATCAACGCAAGCGAACTTACCGCATTACGAACTGCGGCAGGCAGCGTCCTTGCGACACGCCTGCTGCTCGGAAGAGAAGCCCAACCCACTCACATCGTGGCGTTCGGCTCTGGTGCACAAATTCGCGCGCATTTGGATCTCTTAGTACAGGCGTATCCGAACATCTCGCACATTTCCATCATCAATCGTACCGTCAATCAAAGAGTCAACTCCTTGAGAGCGCATATAGCAGAAAGCGTACTGTATGCCCAAAGCGGCAATCGCGTCGAGATCGTGGTTATCGCGAGCAGTGAGACAACCTCCGTCGCAGCAGCAGTCTCAGGCGCTAATGTCATCATCTGCGCGACGTCGAGCACTGCCCCGCTGTTCCAGTCGGAGTGGGTACGCCTTGGCACCCACATTGTCCTGGTTGGAAGCTACACCCCCGCAATGCATGAGGCACCCGAAGAGCTCATCCGGAGAGCTGGGATTGTCGTAGTCGACTCGCGCGAAGCATGTGCCGAAGAAGCTGGAGAGCTCATTAACGCCGGGTTCACCGCTGAGACTGCCCGCTGGGCCCATATGGTGGAAGTTGGTGAACTCGCCGGCGAGTCGAAGTGGACAGCTGAAACGGTTCGCGCGGCAGGTGACGTGACAATTTTCAAAAGCGTCGGGATCGCGGCGCAGGATGTGGCCATTGCCTGCGCAGTCGTCGATCGCGCTGAACAGCTCAACATTGGGCCAGTTATCGACTTCGACGCGTAGATTTGGGATAGTTCATATTTGTTCACTTTTCTGTTATACAAGCTTGGGATCAAGCGGATACAAGTTGGTTCAGTGGGAGTCGTTGAATCTAGTCATCCCTCACACGATGAATAGAATCTGCGAAGTAGTGCATTACTGAAGGCATAGACGGGATCTCTTTATCCTCAGCACGCCGCCAAATGTTCGTGTTGATAAGTTTGCATTCGAACGGAGGTCCGAGCTCCTGGTCTACCAAAGCAGTCCTGCTCGAGACATAGGTTGCCAAGGATCCACACGCCGCATAGTTGATGTCGCAGTTCCGAATGATAAGTGTTTTCATCGTCGAGCCCACCGTGGAATGCCGACAGTCAGTTGCTCGGCATCCGCCCCATGGCTACGGCGACCTGTGAGGGCTCGAAAGAATGCTTCAGGTTCTCCTCTGATCATGCGTGGCGGGATGTCCAACAGCTCCAGTGTCTGTACGTCCTCTAATCCGTCCAGAGCTGCGGCGTCATCGGCCGAGAAAAAGCCCGAGGAGTGACCTCCTTCGACTGTGGTGATGATTAGATGGCTCACCTGACATTGAAATGCCTGTAATAATCGTAGCAAGTGATTTAAAGGCTCTATAGAGACGGAGAGAGTTCGCAGCGTTGACGACACGCTAAGATAGCGATCCCATTCTCTTAACTTGGGTTTGCCGTATATTCCGAGCTTGGAAAGGGCACGAAGGTTGACCGGCTCGAGTGGAGGCGTGGGCAACCCGTAAGTCCATCGGGATGGGAAGTAGATATTAAGGTCCTGTAGGCATGGTGTCATCGCCAGTGCGTCCCACAAGACGTTTTCATTATCCACCCCACGAATGCTGAAGCTGAGTGACTGAAGTGCACAGAGCTGGACGCTTGGAACTATGGCTGCGGCATGACTCACGAACGAGCGCATGCGCGGGCACCCCGCCAGAAAGCCATATTCTTGTGGATTATCTTCGCCTAGAATGGTAGATCCAACTACGGAGTGGTAGAGCTCTCCAGGGACAAGAATGAGCTCTTCCAATAGCGGCATTGGCGTACTGAGGGGAAGAAATGCGGACATGGAGACGCGTTGACCAGCGGCGAAGTCGATTCGTACGCGCCTCCAGCGGTGTATATGCTCGAATATGAGGCACAACGATTGAGAGACCTGATAAGTATTCTGTGCTTCGTGATCCGACGGAGGCGATTCAGTGACCCAGACATCGAGTGCGTGGTCCCGCGATCGTTCGATACACGCGCGCAAGTAGACGCTATCAGAGAGACTGCCGTCAAGAATGAGCACGGACCAGGGCTCCGGCGACTGCAGCAGTACGGCGCGCCACCGCCTGCATATTGCACCAACCCACAATACAGCGCGACTGCGCTCTCGTATAACAGCGTGATCCTGCCTAAATGAGGCTCTTTCTCGAAAAAGGCCCACGTGGGAAAGAATCTCTTGGTAGAGTTCTGCGGGGAACGCATCCATGGGCGCACTTCACCGGTTATGACGAGAAACACGAGCAAGACCTACGATCGGTAGTTTCCAGAAAGTGACTCCGGTATACCTAATCAACATTAAGGTTCCTGCCTGCTCAGAAGCCAGCACGATGACGTACTAAGCGCGAGTACTCACGAGGGCATTCAAAGGCGAGTTGATCACGAAGCAATGTTTGAATGTTAAGTTTGTAAGGACTACTTGTGTTCATTGCTCATCACGATCTGAGTCATGAATACTATCTTGAAAATGTTTCATAGCTGAAATTATGGCCGGTTGGTTATTGTCGGCTGCACTTTTCCAAACTTTGGTGTCGACGAACTGAAAATTCAACGGCGGCCCACCAAGTTCTGCCGCTGCCTTCTCCCTTGACGAAATAAATTCAGCCAAAGAGCCACATGACGCGTACTTGAGCTCGCTGTTTCGGATTTTGAGGCTTGTGACAGTCGAAGCCCAGTGAGGAATGCTATCGATGACCCTGGCAAGTCGATTGCGGCCAAGAAATGACAGAAAGAATTCTTCGGGGTCGCCCCTGAACATGTTACGAGGAATGTCTAGAATCTCGAGTGTCTCGACGTTTTCGAGATGATTTAAAGCTAATGCATCCCCCCGATAGAAGTATCCGTTGGACAGCGCTCCTTCCATTGTGGTGATGATGAGGTGCCGCACCTGCCGACGAAAGTCACGGCAGAGCCGGGAGTTGCTGTCAAGAGGTTCGATGGACAATCCAAGGGTATGCAGTGCTGGCACTCGCAGGTACTCATCCCAGTCTCGATCCCGAGGTTTGCCGTAGATGCCAAGCTTTCGCAAAACAGGTAGTGAAATAGGTTCAGGTGGAGATTCCGTGGTGTTGTCGTTACGCCATCGCGAAAAGTAGATGCTGAGCTCAGTGAGCGCAGGCGTCATGGCCAGAGTAGCCCAAAGTGGCACTTCGTCGGCTAATCCTCGTATGCTGAGGCTGAGATATTGCAGCGTGGGCAGACTGGTACTAGGTACAATGCCTGCTGTATGGTTCACGTACGTGAACAGACGCGGGCAGTGCATCAGGTAGCGGTGGTCATTTTCGTCCGCCTCTCGGCTAATTAGGTTATCCCGAAGGTGTCCAGGGATGAGGATCAGCTCCTCTAGCAGCGGCAGAGGCTTGCTCAGAGCCCCAAACTCTGACCTGTCGAGCCTCTGCTCCGCCACAAAGTCAACGCGGATTCGACGCCAGCGGTGCGAACCCTGTTGGAGAAGGTGCAGCCACTTGAAAAAGTCAGAGGTCTCCTCCTCTTGATTTGTGACACCGTCCTGGGTAATCCATACATCGAGGGCGTGTTCTCGAGATCGCTCGAGATAGATGCTGAAATACTCGTCGCTAGATTGATATTCGTGTGCACATATGAATGACCAGAGTTCTGGGGTTTGCAGAACCAGATCGCGCCATTGCTTGCAAACGGAACCTAGAAGGATTGGAACGCGGGGCAGGTCTTGGATTAGATGCGATGCATCACCAGTAAATGAGGGCCGTTGACGAAAGCCACCCAGATGGGAGAAAACGTCCTGATATATCTCGGTTGGGAGCTGATACATACCGCTGATTGATCTACGACGAGAGTAGGCGGAAGAGCGACGGTCGGTTTTTTCCGTTCTCATTCAGGTTCGAAGGCAATGAAAGTTATTGAACGGGGCGTGAATCACTTCGCACGCGAATTGAAACGTTGGTCACATATTTTAATTGAAGAGACCATGTAGATCTTACGGTAATCTTTTAACTGGAGATCCTTTGTGAAAATCACCGCAGTTTTCTCGTCAATTGTCAATGCAGTCATATATGTGCGACATATTAATAATGCCTCATCAGCAAACCTTAACGCGCTGGCGGGCGAGTCTCACCGCAAAAGCGTTAGAAGGTCGTAAGATATGCCTGGACACCGACCATTGGTGAGCACCTCCGCAATATTTCACTCTATTTACCTGTCCACAGCACCACCCCTGTCG